ATCACACGTGGTGGGAAAAAGCACCATCACGAAAAATAATCATTTCACATTTTCACTTCTATTCCACGTCCACCTCTGCCGGGGAAAGAAATGGTAGTGGAAGGCATGGAAGGCTGCTGCCAGATGTCAGCACAACTGATTACGAATGAAGTTATACAGCTGCGTTTTGCTGAAGCCTTTTTTTCACAATCACACTTCTGTGTAAGTCTTAGAGATCTAACTTTTGAAAGAAAGACGTGGTGCCTATTTCAACACCAATTATTCGAGAGATCTAATTCTTTTTTAGATCTTACAATCTATTCAACACACGAGAAGGAGAAAAGCAGCCAAAGTGATTCATAAAACTATCAAATCAATCGAAAGTAATCAACCAGTTGTCTTCCATGTTTACGACCAACACCACTAACAATTCTCTTCTTTCAAGGTACGTGCTTTATCTTTTCTTTCGTCATGATGTGTTTCCTAATCAAAGGCGCCAGACGCGTAGGGGTAAACCTCTTCTTCGTTGAGCTGTTGTTCTAAGCGAAGTCGAGCTTGACGTCGTTGTTTACGAGCGCTCATTGTATTGATTAGTTCCTCCTTTCGTCGTTGATGATCGATCAGAACGAGCATGCGAGTGCAGCCTGGTGTCGGTCGAGTGATACCACAGACCTTCAACAAATTGCTGATGGTCAATAAATGACCATCGTTGTATAGGCACGCCGCGAGAGCGGCAGAGGTACGAACATATTGAGCAGGATGGAATTGCGTCTTCGGACATGGATGTCATGTCGAATATAAATATATATTTGCTTCGTTCCTCGAACGAATATACTATACATCAGCATTTCAATGAAACACTGCGTAGCAATCGCAAAAAGTAAACTCGATATGAGTAGTTAAAGCCAGAAAATCAGGAAAGAGCATATACCAATGTATGATGATCTACTTACACACTTTGCGGTAATGGCAGAAAATAAGAAAATCAGAAAGGAGCATTTACCAGTGTATGATGATCTACTTACACGCTTTCCGGTAATGGCAGAAACTCAGAAAGTCAGAAAAGAGCATATACCAGTGTAGGATGGTGCACTTACACACTTTCCGGTAATGGCAGAAAATCAGAAAGTCAGAAAAGAGCATTTACCAGTGTATGATGGTGCACTTACACACTTTCCGGTAATGGCAGAAAATCAGAAAGTCAGAAAAGAGCATTTACCAGTGTATGATGATGCACTTACACACTTTCCGGTAGTGGTGGAAAATAGGAAAGTCAGAAGCGAGCATTTAACATTAGATGTTGATATATGTAGGGAGTGTGTCCGCTAGATGCAGGAAGTCAGAAAAAAGCGTTTACCAGTGTATATTGGTAGGTGTCTGGTTGCTTGGGGTTAAAGACTGAAAACCGCAAAGTAGTGAGAATTTATCTGTAGCGTATATTCAAGGTCAATATTTTTGTCGTGGGCTGTTTTAGTGAAATGTTTTATCTGTTGAGTTATTGGGGTAGGACGAGATGCCTTTGGCCTGGAGCGGTAAGTTATTATGGTAATTTTTTTATTGGTATCGAAAAGTATTTCGTTTTGCCTAAGGTAAACCAATAGGTGAACAGACGCATAGATCGCGATGGAATTATCAATACGATAGAAGTGATTGTTGGTCGGTGTCAATTCCTACAGTATAACAGTTTTTTAGGTGAAAAACTAGTAAAAAAAATATTATTGACTTTGGATAGGAGTACGATTTGAATAGGTATTTAAATTTTGCTAAAGAACTAAATGTCTGTTCTGCCACTTGTGTGTTGATGTTCATATATCGACCGCCATGAGATAGATCATCCGGCCGCATTCGACCCTGACACATATGACGAACGTGATTTTTCACATGGAAACGGTCTATAGCCATGTCCATATCTTTGAAAAATTTTGTTCTTGATGATGCCAACAGGTTAGGTGTGTTATAATGCTTTTCTATAAATAAAGACAGTGAACATGCCGTATCATAACACATGGCATCGGGCAAATGTCCATATTGAAGAATACGCATAATGTGGCGTAACACACGTCGCACTAAGAACACAAAGGGAAATCGTGTTGCTACATGAAGAGCAGAAGCAAATTATGATGATTACTTACTCCCCTCTGCCATGGGCATCTCGTCATAGCCCACAATAACTCCACAGTTTAAAAATGTGGCTAGAAAGCCGTATGATGTCGTTTTATTCACACTGCTTATACCTTCACGTACAACGTTGCACAAATCTTCCATTTTTATACCAGTCAATGCTGTTTGGTCCAATTCTTTTTCCACTAGATCTATATTTTCTTCTTCATTACGCAGTAATTTGTTTGTTGTTGATCTTGTGACTGGACGTTCAAAATTTTGTGCTTTTTCGAATTTTTGCAATTGTAAGAATTCTGACAATGTTTGAGCTTCTTTTTGATGATTTTTACAATAACCTGAATGACATTTTGCACTTTGTTCATCTACATAAAAGAAAATCACTAGCTATGACAAAGGAATTGATAATCAAACAAAAAGATTTACTCTGTCTCATCGGTGTGTTGGGGCATCCTATTTGAATACCATTTATACCGAATTCAGGTATTGATTTATCATATACATCACGAAACTTGCAGACAAGACGATTCGCTTTTTGGTGCCCATCAACTACGAAAACTGTCGAACAATGTGCATCACATTTCTTCGTAAATTTATGATGATTTGTCCAAAGATGCACAAATTTTTTATATAAATTTTCTTTAGTCTCTTCGAAGTACAAATCTGTGTCATCGCTGTCAAGCAATGATGATGGAATTTTAAATTGAATATCGTCAGTTGTCATAAATGTAAAATTAATTAAACTGTAATACAACCATAACATTTGAAATGTTCTTTCATTCAAAACATCGGAATTCAAATTAAATCCACTTCTAAGAAACATAGACAAGATACATTTCTAGTTTTTATGTTGTAAAAAATTCGATGACAATCCTTACCCAGAAACATCTTTTGTTGTTGAACACATTGTCTGGCATTCACTTCCATTTTTCTTTGATGACACATAGATTCGATTTTGAACTTGAGCATAACCGCTAAACGACACTTGGTTAAACAGTAAATGATTTTCAAAATTAACAATTATTCGTTTGTCATACACTGTACCACCCGAAAAATAAATCTGATCTTTATTTTTCATTGA